AAATTAACCCCCTTATTATATTTCCCCCCCCCCCCCCACTAAGAAAATTAATACAAACACACACAAAAAAACAATTTTTTTATGGTGTTTCAAAGCAGATAAGCTTTGACCAATTTTAAAAATAGACTGTAAATTACTCTCAGACAGGCACCGACTTCCAGCATGTTTATTGAAGCGTTGATGAGTCCCCCTTCCGAGCTGGCCGAAAATCCGTCAAAAACGGCTCCAAAAAATTATGAATTAGAGATTCCTTTTATAGCCATTCCATAGGCCCGAAAATAGTCTCTTTCAAGTTTTTTTTACACCTCAAAGCCCCTAAAACCTGACCGGGATATATATTTTATGGCACGGCGCCCGGAAGCGAAAATATTTCATCGGCACGACGTAGTGCGCATCTGGCATTCTGGGGGGCCCACGAACTTTGCGTGTGCGGCGAGCCTCCTGGGCCGGGCTTACCTAAGCATTTAGAGGTTTGGCAGTGGTCCGATGGGTTTTTGGGACATGTCGGGCCATGGTTGGTAATTGTTTCGATGGGGAAATTGAACTCTGGGCATCGCAGCGTCATTCTGGCGAATTTTTCTTTGGCCCACGGGCCGCTGCTATCTGATTTGGTGGGTCAGAATGGATGGCCTCGACTCAGAGAACGGGCTTTTCGATTAGTCGCTGCAAAATATACCCTAAACATATTGCATTTTTCCTTTTTACAACAATGCTATTGGGTAAAATAATCGGCCACTTAAAAGTCTTGATAATAAACATAGCCTCGGCACGTTTTTGCTTTTTTGCCCTATAAAGATGTTTAATACGTTTATTATCGCTCTGCCGAATGACATCTTCAAAATATCGAGAATAGCAAAAATACATAAAATTGGTCGTTATGTCGTGCCTATCTTTTTCGCCCCAGGCTATAGCATAATCAAAGTTTTAGACTACGTTTTCTGAACTGGAGGTCAACTAACATAGTCTTGATGCCCTATCGATTGGTATTTTAAACGAAATTACCATTTTTAAAAATGCTTTTGTTGCGCTATACTCTATGTGCACACATACCCGTTTTTGACGATTTTACCATTAAGTAATAAAAAATGGTTCAACGAAATATCATGTTTATGTAATTTAAAAACTTAATTAAATTATTTAGGATAACTGTTAAGCCGCGTGGTATATTTTTGGACGCGCTATCTGGAAACCTTTGCAAAATCCCATAGGAATGAAAAATATCATAAATATTTAGTGCTCATCGGTTGCCTTATGTGTCTGTATTTTTATGGAAGCCATTTTTAAGCATAAATATATTGTATATATCTGTTTTGAAATCTGCTCGTCTAGACTAATATTTATCATCATTTTTCGCGTCCATGCTTGCGCCTATGTCAATGGTCGCGTGCCCGAAAACCCTTACCCACTTGGCCATACATATAAATGCGACCCATGTATGTTCCTTGTCCACTGCGTCCCAATTTCTCACCATAATACACTTCGTTTTCCCCACTACCGATTTAAAAACTGGTATAAATATTTCAAAAAATTTTAACGTCACATAAAAGAATTTACAAGCTTGGCACAGCTCTGCGGGCCATGATTTGCTTTTTCCGAGTGGTGCCTAATGACGGATGGGTGGCCAAGCTTCGTTCATCTTCTCGCCTCCTTTAATCCCCACTCCATCATTGTGAAGTGCTATCAATTGTTTTCTAAGAAAATGACAGAGAGCGACGCTAGCAGCTACTATGGTTTCATGGTGCTCATGCCGGAAACCATAGAAAAACATTCTTCTACAATGAATTACTCGCACACGTCCATAATTCATCAATTTGTTCGATTCATTTGTCAATTTCGCTTTCATTAGCTGACATATTCAATTTACCTATTATCCATAATTTAGATGAAAACTCTTTGGGTATTCATCGTGTTTGCTGTCTTGCTCCCTGTCTCCTATGCCTATTTTGACGAAGGTGAATATGAAATAGTAAACAGACAGCGAGAGGTGAGATTCGCTACCTAGCCTCCAAATAAAATAAACCTAGGTAAATCCGATGATATGGCGAGCATCATTCGGCAAAAGAGATGATTCAGAAGTCTATCGCATTCCAAATTTTTCTAGTTGGATGCGGGGAAAGAGGTGAGGAAAAATAAGCATATTTGTTATAATGATTTTTATTATCGATAAATCAGCGATAAAATCTCTGGAAATAAATATGGAATATTGCAGGGGAGGCGCTAATTCTGAACAGCGAAGTGAGTGGACTTTCAAAAGATGAGATCGGTGCTCAGATGCATATCTTTAAAAACTAAAATAATGGCGATGAGCTAGTGGTCATCAATTTTTGGGTCGAAATTTAGCTGTGGCTTTTGAACCTGACAACATAACCCGATCTCTATAAAAATGTTAATAAACTTGTTTGGTACATTGTACATTCGCAACACAACCGCATCTGTGTAATGAAGCCATGCTTAAAATCGACTCAATTGGTTGGTTTTTAGACGTGTCAATATAATAGAAATTTGCACTTCTAGATAGACAAACCGAAAAAAATTTATTGACTTATTTAATATACATTTTGAACCAACAATATTGATTGTTTAGTTTAGTGATTGAACCCGTCATTGTTTATAGAGCCCGGACCATGAAACCCAAAACTTAATTAAATACAATTTGATAAACAGCTATCAAAAATATTGCCAAAAAAAGAAGGATCTCCGGAATAAAAGCAAATAAACTCCATTTAAGTATACGAGGAAAAATAGAATAATTTCAAAAGCATGACTTGGAAGGGTTAATTTTGCGGTCTCCAGTCAGAACCGAATCTGTTTCAAACAAACCGTTGTTGCGACAATAAGAGAACATTTGTCCGGCTTCTTTTTCAAAATATACCGGTTGCTGTTGGGTTGGACAACGTCTCGTATCATAGAATTATCGCTAAAAAATTCTGTTTAGCTGGCTTTCACATCTAGTTATTTCCTTCAAATTTCGTGACTTACAGCGTAACAGTAACTAGGTAGTCGATTTTATCATTCGATGATATTTCATAAGTTTTGTCCGGATTCAGCCTGACCTCAACGGTCGAATCTTTTTTCGTGATGAACGACGATCGTTTGACGAGCTCAAGGCTCAGAGGATCAAGTCTGGAAAAAACAATCTTCTTATTTATGCCCAGGGACGTAGCGTAATACCGGCCCCGGGGGCCCGGGCCCCCCGAAATCGGCCGGGGCCCGAAAATTTCATAAGGGGGGACCCTTGATTTTCAGTTGCTCAAAAATTTTGCTGCCTGCGGCGCTATTTTTTCACGTTTTTACGGCTGTTTGTAGAGCTACGTCACCTTTTTTTCAAAAAATTTTGCCTGCGGCGCTGTTTTCCTGTTAATGTTTTGAGGTTTTTGGACAAATTTTTTGGGGGCCCCCCCCCGAAATTTTTTTCTGGCTACGCCCCTGTTTATGCCATTACTCCAAACCTGTTACTATCAGTGTAGCAATCACAAGCTGGTCGGCGACAAAAATAATTCCGGATAGAATCACAGACGCAACCCGCGCTCATTAGCCCAGAGTTTGAGTGTGGTATCAGAAACTAAAGTAAAACAGTATGATATTTTCAAATTTAATTAAGTTAACGTTTACCATGTGCATAATCTCGTGTAGAGTTGCAAGTACAGTGATAGACAAACTCCTAAATCCCGGAAGCGGCCGCTTGGTGCAGTCACTTTGAAGCAATTCGGACAATGGAAATACGCTAAGTTCATTGAGCCAAGGCATTGCTATGATGGACATGTTTTGATATGTCACACAATAACGCCTACAAAAGAATAAAATTATTTTACTTTCCTTTATAATAATCATACCGCGGAGCAACAAAGAATAAAATGTATCCATCATGCGATGTGAACATTATTTTCTGTGAAGCTACTTTGTAGAATTCGACCAAATTCGTATCATCGGGTTGCGGTAAATCGAACTCGTCGGCAAAATATGATCGCTCAATCGTATACTGAGCAGAGCTTCCAATGCATTGAGTTTCAAACCTTGAATACAGTGCCATTCGCTTCTTCATATTGCAGGTTCATCGCCAGGATTCGTTCAGCCAGACTGACTAACATCCGAAAGGTTTAAGATTACGAACAACAAAAGCCTACCGTTATATTACATAACATTATAACTTACCGATGTTGTGCAGCCGCTCGCGATGTTTCTGAATATCCAAAGTCGACCGGCCATTTTCAAAAAGAGGCACAATCTTCACAGACTGCTGCATCTTTTCCTCTCTCCATTAACACCTCTGTAACTCTTGATACGTCCCCTCAGAAGGTCAGTACGGTTCGAAAATAATTACGCTTACTTAGTCAAAAACTCAGGCACGCCAGAATGGCAAAAACCCTTCGCTTCCGGCAAATCGAAACGTGTTTGCATTAGCAGCCGCTTTTAATATATCTTTATACTGGCAAGATTTCAAAAGCTCAACCAGCAACGGGGAAGTTTGGCATATTAGCTACAATTTGAAAAAGTATAAGGTGCATGCACTTCTACAATACATATCATGCATACCGGAAGCTACCGTATTGGTTTCATATCACAATCAGGGCAATATAGATTCTGTATGGGGGAGGGACAAATCAGAAGCACTACTTTTTGTATCTCTATTCTCTACAAACTAAGTACAAAGCTACTAAATACACATCAACGCAAACGTTTTAGGTTAAGGGGGAAACTGGAATGGCGGGTGGCATGCCGCTAGCACAACAAGGCCATTTTATATTGAAGAAGTTTTTAGTGAGAGAGCAACGCTTGTACACCTAGGCAAGCCAATCTTCGTCAGACTGAAAAATGCAAAGCAACGAATTATATCACCCTACTAGATGTGGGCATCTAGGCGAAAAAAATTATAGCAACCAAGGAGCTTCGTATATAACTAGAATTTTAGAAGTTGACTAGCAAGCAAATTCAGAATCACATCGGAGAAAATCACACCGGGGCTCAAATTCACAAAAAAAAACACATGACACACATTATTAAAGGCAATCCATGGCGCGAAGGATATTCGCAAGTTCTTCGGCGATCGGCTCAGCGTATTCCTAAAAGAGGATTTCATCAAACACTCAGAATATCAAAATAAAACCCTTCCAAAATATTTTAACGACTGACCTGCATTAACATCAATTCCACGTGAGCACGGTCGTCCATGGGGCGTATGTACAAACGGATGAAATGACTGTTTATCCAACAGCCACCTGGAAGAAGTACATATTTGATGCAAAACTACTGCCCACCTCGCTCCTCATCGGGGACCTCCTCGTGTTGTAACTGCTTAGCATCAAAGAAAGTCTTCGCTTCGTGAACAACTTCTATCGGCTCAGCAGCACAAACCAGCACCTAAAAACCAGGGTAAAGGATTTTTAAAAATCAATACCGTTCCCCGGCTTTCCGGGCGGAAACCGGGATGTTCCGGCGTGGAGGCACCGCTATGAATATTCGGATTCGGCGCGAAACCAATGACGGTTGCAGGGCGTACTTGTTCTCCGTAGATAACTTCGTTTGCCTAAAAATACAAGCAACCTTTGGATGCGAAACGAGGTTTGACCTTCTGCTCAAACAGGGCGATCGGGTTGAAGTTGGCGGAAGCACATCCCGGCGGCAGCAACTTGTTATTTTCATCGGTGATAGAGATGCGAGGAGTGTTCTTGAGCGACATCGACGAGGTATCCATAGCCAATGATGTTCTAGAACGATTTTTAGTGCCAGAGGAGTTGTGGGACTTACGTTGGTGAGCAACCGCTGCCAGCAGCCAGCTTGCCAAGCTTTTGGAACTCTCGTTGAAGTTGTTTGATTTGGAAGAGGTCGGAACCTAAACGTCAGAACTTTCCTTGCGTAGCCAAGAAATTCCTTACCAGCTGACATATGCCGGCCGCCCTTTTGTAGGTGTTGCATGTAGAGCTTTTCGAGCTGGCTTTGCTGAGTGGTGGATACTGGACTAGGTGCCCATGAGCTTCTTCTTTCGCCATTCGGTGTTTTCGAATAAGGGCTCCTGAAAACCAAATACGTTTATCTTAGCGTTTCTAAACAGCAAAAACCCAATTAAAATTAACTCTACCTCAAATGCCTTTCCTTCTCTTTGCCCAAAGCTGACGCCGGTGTCCCAGTCAACGCGTGCACCGTATTCCTTTTCGACGAGCCTTGTTGGCTCAGATACCTAAGTTTTTCAAAGAATAAAACTCCCCGATATCGACTGACTTTTTGCCCTCTTCCTCGATATTCATGTTGGTTCCGCTGCCCGACGCCGTAGGACTTTCGCTGCCAGCTGGCAGACTATTGGCAGCCCCCTTCAGATGAGCCCCAAATAGAGCTTCGGAGGCGCTGGCACGTCGCTCGCCCACTGCAATTTTAATTGAAAGTGCAAATGGGGGAAAGGAGATCTTACTGAAGGGGATGTGAAGGGTTGGGTTCTCGTGAAGAGGAATTGGCGACATTCCGTTTAGCAATCCACCGTAGGCAGTCATCAGCTCTGGGGCCTGACCGCCAAGAAGCATTTGCAAGCCAGTTTGTTGAAATTGAAGAGCAGCGGCAGCATGGAGGCCTTCGACTTAAATTGGGAAAATAACCAAATAGTTTAATTGAATAGGCGAGTAAGAGTCAACAAGTTGTACACTGGTTAGAAGAATTTGTCGGCATACAAAAATCCGATGCTACTTGCCTCCGCCAAGCTGTTGCAACAATTCCGGCGGCAAAAGCGGTTCGGTTGCGCAAAGTGTATGCCGACGTTGTTCCCTCGATTGATAAGGCATTGTCTCCTCGATCCGATGCCTGAAACGAACACGAAATAACTTGCACAATTTCAATATCTCCTTACTTGCTATCTTTTCGTCGTGACGATGAACAAGGCGAGTCCTCACACATTTCCGAAGCAGATGAGTCGTCAGATTCCTGGATTCACCGGGTAATTACAAAAGGTAAAGATCGATTACATATTCAGCACTCGACAACAAGCTGAGCTGGGCCAAGTGGTGAGCCGAAATAGTTGGTGCCGCAGGTTCAGGATCCACATTAGCTTTTCCTAAATAAATAATTTCACGCAATTCTATTAGGGAAACCTGATAGAATGCTGCCTCTGCTCCCTCTCCTCGGCTGATCCACTGTGGTATCTTCCGAGGCTGCTCGCAGCTTTTCACAGAGTAGCTCATACGCAGCATAGATAGGACCATCATAGTTACGCTTTTCAACGTCCTAGAAAACAATAGATTTGCAAGAAGAACCGTTAGTTACCTCCATAATACTCTCCTCCGACCATTTTGAATGTTGTTGAAGAAAAACGAGCACAGTTGGGTTGAGTTTTCGCTTTTCCGAGAGGCGGGCACTCAAGAATTGATCACTTTGTAGAGCAAGGCTCGACGCAGACGTGGCCATTTCTTCGGTCTTCGGAGGATTCAGCCACCCAAAAATACTCCAGTTTGCTCGACAATTCTAGCATACCTATGTTGTCCAACTTGCTGAATGCTGAACCGTTTCACTGGATTGAGGACTAGCATCTTTCTGAGCAAATCCGAGCATTCTAAGAAAAAAATATTCCGTTGCTTTTCGGAAAAATCACTTACCAACCGACACGAAGTAAGGAATTTTGAAAGGCCCTGAGAGTATGGCGCGTTTAAGTTTGTCAATAGAATCGCCGGGGAATGGGAAGCCACCCGTAACCATTATATACAGCAGGACGCCGAGACTCCAAATGTCAGCCTGAAACAAAAATTTTAGAATTGAAAAATACACGGGATATACCTTTGTTCCATCATAATCATTGGCTAGCAAAAGCTCAGGGGCAGCATAAGGCGGCGATCCGCATGAAGTTTTGAGCATGTGATTTGGCGGTTGGAAGTTGGAGAAACCAAAATCTGAATAGAAGATTAAGTTTCGCAGCCAATTTGCTTGTAGAGTTAAAACGAAAGGAAACCCACCAATAATTCGGATATCATTATTCTTGTCGACGAGTAAATTTTCGGCTTTCAAATCTCGGTGCACTACGCCGTTTTCATGGCAATAAGTGAGGGCAGCGACGATTTGATTGAACCATTTCCTTGCATCTGTTTCGCAGATCCGTCCTTTTTCCACGAGAATTTCTGAAAAAAAAGACTCTTTATTAAACCTTATCTCGCCAATTTTCAAGATTTTTAAGATAATTTTGCCTTTTCAACCTCTTAAATTTTAATCGCCAGCCACTCAAAACCTCCCTCCCCAAAAGTGGCTCTCATGGTTGCCCACATTCCGGTTGGTTTAATTACACCGTCGGCTCATCTTTTTCAACCCTATTTGAAATATTGAGCCCTTCACATAAGGGTGCAAAGCCCCCATTCGCGCGCCCATACATCATCATCGGGTAATGAAGCGAATGTACACAAAATGTCACAGCACAAATACCCCTCTCTTCTCCCCGCACATCGTATCGGATACGGTAATCCGCCGCTAACGAAGATTTATGTAAATTGCTTATTTCCGCAAAGGGTTATCATTCACTTTTCTGTAAGTCAGGTAGGACGAGGGTTGGGAGTAACGGTGAGCAATATATGCAAAGCTGCCGGAAATCCCTAGAGGTGTTTGAAGTGAAGCTGCAGTGGTCCATTTCAAAAAACTAAATAAAAGGATGGTGTTGCGTCAGTTTTGGATCCAATTTGTCAGCTTTCAGCAGTGTACTAATTGGTAACCAACAATTCTACGCTGACATCCCTGTTTAAATTTCATTCAAATAAATAGCACCCGTTCTTTTGCATCTCAGACCATCCTCTTGTCGCTCGAAGAACCGTGAGAGCCAAAACGTGCGCGGGGGTCGATTTTTCGGCGAGGGATGCGGCCGATCTGGGAATCGCAATCCCAACCCATTCATCAAACTCGTCAGTCGGCCGACTGTGCATCCGAGGAACATGTGAGCATTCCCAATGCCATCCGTTACTCTTTGCCGCACAAAAATATCGACGTACCATCATCCCCCGACACAAATAGCAATAGGAAGCGCGATATGAGATTATTCCAACAACTAACGCACCAGGGCCGCCCTTGGGGTCGTTGTCAAAGCCAATTTGGGCACCAATTCATCATGCCCGCCTGACAGACGATACTCGAAAAGGTTGCAATTCCCGAATTCCAGATATCCAACAACTAAAAATAGAATCCCCAGGACATCATCAGGGAAAATAACGTGCCAAAGGGGTAAAGGCATCTTATCCAAGCACCTAAAGCTTCCTGGGATTTCTAAAGGCCATTTTGTTTCTGACGGCAACAAATACTCTAATTGGGTCCACCGTGACACAGTCCGAGACGCTGCTCGTCGTCTAATTGATGGGTTCGCACCTGCCCGTTATATAAAAAAATGGTGGCTACAATAAATGGCATCGGGTTCAGGGCCCAAATTTCTGCTCGAGAGCATAAAGCAAAGGCGTTGTTAAAAATAAAAGACAATATTTCCTGTCCCTAATCCTAAAAATGATCATGTCTAGCCATTCCATCATCGAAAGCCCCCTCCTCTAAAGGACCCCCCATATTTTCGAGGATTATACCCCGGGACGGCAAGTTCCTCGAAATTCCAAGATTCCCCGCTCCTTCCCATCCGTTTTCAAATGGAATAACAGCGAAAAAAAACCAAGAATAATTTGCGCTGTAAAGAGAGCCATTCCTTATCCCCCACCCGCCCGCACTCGCGTAAGCTTCGGATCCCGGATATTCGGATTATCCGCCCAGGGCACAAATCCAGCAGTGAAAAACCATTTCTGTGCGTCATTCAGGCTGGCAATTCGACCGCTGGAGAGGGGATTTGGCGATCAAAGGCGTTAATTATGAGGCTCAACAAAGTAAAAGATACAAGCAGGCTTTTTTTGTTCGCTCCCCCCCCCCCTCGATGTAGGCCAGGGTAGGCAAATATGAAGAGGCAATTATAATGAACGTGTCCCCAAGGGCAGATTGAATAACACTTGAAAAAATCAGGCTCACCAAACATTTCGCCGCCCGAGCAGTATTCGGTTACAATGTAAATAAATCGGTCGGTGCGCATCACCTAGGTACAAAAATATTGTGATGAATAACGGGTATGTACCTCATAGAGCTTGACGACATAGGGATGATCGAGTTGCTTCAGGATCTCAATTTCACGCTCGATTTTGATGAGGTTCTCTGGCTCGATCTTGGTTTTGTCAACCATCTTGACAGCGACCTAAAAAGAAATTACTTCATGGCTAAATCTCGTTTAATTTTTGCCACCAATTACGAAAAATGCATCAGCTTTGCACCTTAAAAAAACCCCAAAAAGTCTGTACCTTCGTTTTCGCAATATCATGCTTGGCCAGTTTTACGGTTGCAAAGTTGCCGCGGCCGATAGATTTGAGCAGATGATAATTGCCGACCTAAACGATTTGGGGGGTATAGCAAAACGACTGGTTCGTACCCGATTCAATTTATTCCGACTCTCGATGGACCATGGCCCCGGGGCAGAGCTAGTCGAGGCCCGCTGCTCCCCCGGCCATGTGCTGTCCATAAGCGGGGCGCAATGCCTAAAAAGTGTAATTCGTAAGACAAATAAAAATATAGAAAAAGGAAAGACAGATTACAGTCAGAGTGAATAATTGGGGAGCTTGAGGACGAGCTATCATGGGCGGTCACAAAGACCTGTGGAGGATAAGGCAAAGTAAAACTAAACTGTTTAAAGCAAGCAAGTAACGGTATGTCAATGCAAAAATTCATTTCTAAACTCACAAAGATCGGGTTATGGCTATAAGTCTACGTTTCCCCTGAACTTCACTAATACTCCGGTACTGAACAACGGATATAACGAATTTGTAAAAACCGTGGGAATGTACCGCGGTTTACCATTCGCCTAAATAAAACACCCATACCTTTTAGACATCCTCGAATACGAGGTTGGCCGCAATAAACACGCACCAGCTTCGGCCATAAAGCCGAATATCGGACTGCGGAAATATGGAGTTAGTGCGGCTGGGCGCTACTTTTTCAAAAAACTATCGCCATATCCGGATTAATTCACAGAAGTCCAGCCTCTTTTCGGGGGAGTTCACCCAATCCCTCGTCAAACAGTTTTCCCTAGGGGGAAGTTTTTTTGCGAGAATTAGAGATGACAAAAACCTGATCTCACCGCCCAAACAGTATGGCTTCCACCCCAATTATCTCCGGATTAACGAGGCCGGGTGTCCAGTTAAAAAGGTTCAAATAGAGGCAAAAACATGACCTATCTAGAATGGAATAAAAGGGGATCAATGGTCAGACGCTCACAATTTTTGATAAGAATTGATCCCGGTCACTATCACGGCCGTGAATCATTCTGCCGGAAATCAGTCCCCCTCTCTCGAATTTCCCGTCTGGCACGCTCTATGCCGCCGCCTAATTAGCCCGCGCTCGCCTCATAAATCAAAACATCGGGCGCATATAGCTTTCTGCACAAATTACCGCACATATGCAAAAACTAACCAAAAATCGCGGAATTCCAATCCAGAGATTAGAAAACGGTGTTCTTTTGGCCTGTGCTGACACCAGCCAGCAAATTTGTAGCCATGGCTTCATAAGAAATGCTTGTGCGGCGGCTGGTCGGGGGGCAAAAACGGCGCAAAAAAGTTTGGGGAACAGAAAGACACAATAGACTGGAAATGGGCGGAATTTATGAACGAGAATTGAGAAATAGAAAAATGGCGCGCTTGTCATTAGAAACGTGATTCGCAGTGTGTGCTTCAAGGAGCGCGGGTGGCGGTACTGTAGTTAGGGCGCACCGGATTCCATCAAAACTTCCAAAAGCATCCCGTACGATCATCTCACATGTTAGTTTACATCTTTTAGAGACGATAGCTATCGGTAAGTTAATTGCGTTTACGGCTTTCCGGGCCAATGCCTGACGAAAAGTAGGCGCTTGCTAGGTGACTTTTTCAAACTTTCTGAATATCACGGGGCTTATTGCTTGCCAGGTTCAAAAACTAAAAACATCAGTGCTAAACCGCTAAGGACAAACTTAACCAAGTGCAAATTTTATCGAAAAACACAATTGAAAATCGTCTTCTGATCAAATGCTTGATCAAAAACCTAATAAGCTGCTATTGTCAGAAAAGTTTGGATTGATGCTAGCAGATAGCCTTGGGATTCCTGGAATGTCCACGAGTCTACAAAATGAGATAGGTGAGCGCGAATCCTGGGGATCTCGGGGCCGATCCTCGGCTGCCGGGGTGGGCGGGCGAGCCGAGATGGTGCATTATCCCGCCGGGTTCGGGTCGAGCAGGGGGGAGCTTTCTCATTGCCGTTTTCTCGCAATGCGCAAAAGGTGCTGCGAGGAAAAAGGAAGAAGAAGCAAAAGAAAAGCAGGGAGAAGACGGCGGGGATGTGGTGCGGGTGGAGAGAAAAGATTGGGGCGAGGGGCGATGAAATAAACGATAGGGAAAGGGAAAGAAAGACTGCGGGGTGAAAAGATGGGTGATGGAGAGGGGAAGAGGGGGGTCGCTTTTGGTCTGTGTGTATGTGAGGGGAAATGGGTGTGTGGAGGGCAGAGAACAGAAAACGGAGGATAGAAAAGGGCTGTCTCATGGAAATAGGGGGGGTCTCAACGAGACGACGGGCTGAGAGACCACCCACCGATTGGGAGGCGAGAGAACACGAGCACGCGCCACAAACACACTGCGGCTGCGCCGCGGCGCCACCCAACCACCGGGAATGCACGTCACTGGCGCGCGCTTTTTTAGAGCCCACACTAGCCCGTCGGCTTTGGGGCTTCAAACGGCCCCCCTTATGCCCCTAGGGGAGGCGGTGGAGTGGTGGGCTAATGCCCTTTATGGCCCGACAACGACCGCATCCCAACATCGCAACCACTAACTTATCATGTTGGAACGGCAGGCTCCCCTACTCCCGAAGCGCTACCGTTACCCAATGGAAATCCCCGCCAATTTAGTTGCCAATACTGTCCTATTTGGCTGGCTACCCATTCTATATAGCATAAAAAGCATACTAGAAGTTTCGGTTACAGCTGAAAATAATCTAATACAAAATATTCATAGCACAAAAAACTCTAGGAAATGCAGTTATGGAAGGTAGTTTTCGAAATTTTCAATTTTTTTTAACAACCCCAGAAAGGCCACAATAAATATTCGCTTCAAATAAAGATTCGATTCAATATCCCTAATTTCCGCCCAAAAATTCATATAACATAGTCAAGGAAAAAAAATAATCTGAAGGCGCATCTGGCCCGACGAAATAGAACAGTACCGACTCGCCTCCATTTCTTTACTTTTTGATATAAGCCAAAACAAAGAAAACCTAATATGCACATAAAATATAAGTATAACGTTCGATGCTAAAGCAACCGTTTGATATCCAGCAGTTATCCAAGAAAATAGTGCACCCAAAAACCTGGCGCAAGAAAATATTTTCCAAACAAAATCCCCCGATATTCTCTGGATTTTTGAACCCTGCTTTCATAACAAGAAGACCCTAAGCCGGTCGTCTGCGTTTCGCACTTATATGCGTGATCTTCGAAAGCAAGTCTAAAGGAATTTGCTGACAAACAGCCCTAGATTGCTCCTTAGTATGCGGATCAAAGCGGGGATTATTGTCTGAGATTGATATTTAAGATCAGCTGGTCGCTGGATGTGGTTGGCTCGTCGTCGGATTTGCTTAGAACTTAGGTTTTTCTTATGAAACGGCTGGTAATAAAGATTCTGAAATATGCATTACAAAATTTCAATCAAGATCTTGGGTAGCGGATTTTAAAAACATCGAACTTTAAAAACCATGATTGACTAAGGCGGTTGAATTGCGAAAAAAATGTTCCGGTTGCATGTTTCATTGGAGGGATCGGGTACATTTTACACCTGCCACTTCCTGGGTACATACCCTCGCATTGAGTGGCAGATGAAAGACCCATTGAGGCCCTCCCAGAGCGTTGGGTCCTGCTCATTTATTGCTGTGTCCTCTATCCATAGCTATGCCCCGACAAGTTATCAACCAAAATAACGCAATCTCTGGCAACCTAAGTAATGGCTTTCTTCATTTTCGGGCAGTTTATAATTTAGTTCCGTGAAACGTGAAACCCTGAATGGTCTAGCTAGCCCGGTGTTTTATAAACATGCAATCGCTTTGGCAGCCACACACCCAATGACTATTAAATGGCAAAGCCTTTAAAGTTTGTGAACATAACTTTAAAATGCGTCAAAAATTATAAAGTCAAAAATTATAAAAACCCTCGTAACTACAGACGAGTTGCACTTTGTTCCTTTTTGGGCGACAATTTTTTAGCTACTAACCTTTAATTTTGACGCCACGAGACGACACGGGCCTGCGCCCATATTAAGCACCGACCCAAGCAACAATGGGCTACGGTATCCCGTGAATGGGGTAGTATTTTGCCCTTCAACGACCCACACGTCAACCACAGGCGCAAAAAAAAGTTTGGGGTTTTTCAGGGATCATCATGCAAAACGTACCATCGATCCGTCCACCAGAAAAGGAAGTTCCCAATCCGGATCATTGTTGAAGAGCTGTGGCGAAGAGAACGGGGGACAACGAGTGAATCGAAAGTCGATGGCGGGGAAGAAAGCGGTGGTTAAGAGCCATTAGCTCCCGTCGATCGATGCATTTTATTGTTTATGATCGACGGGGCGAGATCTTCCAGATTCGCATACCGAGCTGATGGGTGGCGGGGGAACGTCTCCTCGCTTTACAGACAAAAATTATGGCTTGCAAACCTGCAGGGTAGGCCGCCAGGGCTCTGCCCCTGTTTACAGTATGAGCAAGCTATCGAGTACCAAAAAAGTTGCTTTTTATTGCCTAGAGCTAGCGCCGATCATCCGATGAAGCTGATATCATTCAGTTGAATTCAAGTGGAGATTAGCGAACGCTATCTCCTCGGGAATCTAAACTTATGTATTGAAGTAGAACTGACTAAGAGCACACAAAAAATATCAGGAAAGTAGATATCCTCGCTCATTATTTTCCAATTAGTAACTTACAAGTTAGGGGAGGGGGGCAAAAATCTTAGATGGTCATTTCCCGCGCGAGACCCACTCATAAGCCCAAAACAACCGTAAAACAATCTCGGTAAAAGACAAAGTCATCGCAGCTATGACAAAGCTAAGCATCATTTAAACTAAACTAGAGATAATGTAACTTAATTCATAGGCTAAGCCTAATAATCAAGCCAATTTAAAACCTGACCCAAGTCGTTACTATGCGAAGCTACGCGCGTGCACAGAGAAATCCCCTGAACCTGAGTAGCAGCCGCATTTTCCCCGGGTTAGATTCATGCCTTGTAAAGAAAAACTATTTCAATAATATTTATTGGAATAACCTATCACAACCATTTGCAGCCAGCTCTCGATCGTCCCACCTCCACGTGTGCATACCTGAAATTTCGGAGTTCAATTAAACCCGATCATTTGGAATACTAGCTAGATATATTAGCCCAAAATTATTGAAAACACAGAATGGAATTCCTAATTAATGATCCGAATACTTGACCCGTTTTAATCAAAGGTATAAGAAACATAAGGTTTCTCTTGGATGGTCGGTACATTATAAATCACTCAAAAGCGTGTAGTTTTTATACGCCCAGGAAAACAAGCAGGGTAAAAAAATGCACAACTTCTAGATAACAAAGAAAACAACAATTTGAACAACGCTGGTAAATGAGGTAACGACATGGGAAGGCTTTAGGGTAGGATGGAAATTTTAACAACAACTAGCTGACAGAGGGACTAAATATGTGATATCAAAGTTTAGCTGGATTAGGGCCTGAAGCCGGCAAAGATCTTCGCAGAGAGAAGCGTCTAAGGCTAAAAATAATAAAGCATCCTCGAAAAAATGTACTCGTAATGGAAAAGATCGGGTAAGAGATTGATTATATGAGGCACAAAAAGGTGAATTGAGACAGATGACAAGTTTGGGATCGATCACGATTTCATTCTCCTTTGAACAACACCCAAACGCGCGGCGATTCAATGTAGCCTGAAATAAACCATAGATTGTGGGGAAAATTTTTTTTACCGGAAGTTGAATCACTAGAAAGGTATCCGCCGTGATCCGACAGCGTGTGATTTTTCAATTCAGACCATTCCGTGAACTTCTCTTGACAGATAGGGCAGATGTATCTGAAGGAATAATCATCTCAGTAGACTGAAAATTGAATACCCATGTTCCTCCTTCGTGTGTTCTTCCATCTTCAAAAAACGATTACATTTGAAATCGCAGATTTTGCATTCGAATTTAATGATTCCGGTATGAATTCGTTCGTGAGTCATAACCTGCAAAAAGAATAAACGTTTCCCGCAAGAGACACGTACCGAAACTTCGCTGATGAAGATTTCCTCGCAGAAATGGCATTGGAATGTCTTTGTGAAAACATGAGCCATTTTCTTATGCTTTCGCAACTTTCGTGGGGTCAGGAACCTAAAAAGACAAAAATGCCGATTTAGGCCGAATCTTACTTCAAATTGCACTGGTTACACTTGAAGCCCGAATTGGCACCGCGATGGAACTTCTTCCTGTGGTTCAATAAACGAGCGTCGGTGACCAGATTGCGGACTGGTGTACATTCAAAGCACACGTAGGTCTAAATCATCGTAATTGCGACGGCAGCTTAAGAATTACCAATTCACATTCGTGGATCTCCAGCTCCTTCTTGTCAGTCAAACACTTGAAGCAACGGAAACATTGGACGAAGTTTGAGCATTCGGGATGTTTCTTGACAAAATGCTTCTTCAGAGAGAATTCGTTTCGATAACGTTTGTCGCAGAAGGGGCATTGTGGGGAGACCTAAAAGAATTTTAATTAATAAGAATTTCTCCCTCCAATACCTTCTTCTTGAACGGCCGACGAATATATCTCAATCCGCCAAACGAATCGAAATGAGGAACGACACCACCATTGTTCTCACCGGGAAGGGGAATTCTTAAAAAAGATAATAAGGAACGGTATTAGGAAACCGACTCGTCCACATCGTATTCATATCCATCGGCAGCAATATCCTCGGCGGGAGGAATAAAGCCACCAGAAGTCAACTCCTCGATGCGGTTCGCCTCCATTTCTTCCTGCCGTTGCAGTTCCATTTCAGCTTCTTGTTCAGCGATGAACACTTCATAGTCTTCAGGATGCCTAAACAAAGAAAATGGATCTCACCGATAGTTTTCAAAGTAAAATAGCAAAAAAAGTGACTACTAACCGATCTCGCAGATGGCGCTCATAAAGATTCTTCTCAATAAAACGATTCTTACATCGCTTACAGCGTATCATCTTAGAACGCATCAAGCTTCGAACCTGAAAAAAGGTAAATACCAAAAATCGAAAAACATACCTGGTCCCTATCAACCGGGTGGGGAGGCGGTGGCGGAAGATCGAAAGGCATGTCTTGTATAGCATCGGCCAAAGCTACAGTCTGCTCAACTTGTCCTATAAAGACATTTCTCGCCGAAATTGGTTTCATACCGATGCGGCAAACTGGCAAGTCGTAGCTCGAGGTGATTCTGGTCGGGTTATACTTCACGCATACACTCTCCTTGTACTCGTCAATCATTGCCTGAGCAGGATCGCGGAGATATTGAAGGAGATCGCCAACTCCTGCCCGCCTAAAAAATAATGAATTTGAGGAAGCGGATCAATTGCTACCTTCTTCGATCAGATCGTTTGATAAGCGGTTTCATCTTGAAGCACTTGGTATCCGGACAAGTGGGAGCCGCGGCACGACCGTTCGAATGACCATTTGTGTAATTTCTAGAGTAAGATTATATGACTAATAGGAATATTATACCCGGAGCTATCACCAAATCCATTTTGGAGACCCAAATACAGAAGTCCAGTCGGCACATTGGCTGAGGCGTATCCGTTGCTGAACGCTTTTAGCGAGTGAAGTTCTTGTGTTCTAAATAAGTAAAATAATAAAAGTTATGTGTAGATAACTTGAGCGTATCTTAGCGTGCTTGCATTGGAACAAGGCAGAGCCCAAAACTTCAATAAGCAATAGGAAGTTGACTAAAGGTCAGGCCCTTTCCAAGCATGATGTAATTTCGCATTCTCAGAAAACAACTTGTCGAAAATCAAAATAAAGATAGCCAATTCCTAGTTCACAAGCTCAGGCTAAGCAGGTAAATAGTCAATACCAAAAAGAAAAAAATTAATGACTAAATCTCAAACATACATAATGCCAGCCGGCTTGTCCAAGCTGCTTCGCCTTTTCAAGAAACCGGTTCTGAAGGACTGATAGTCGCTGTCTTCACCAGGGATGTAGTTTTCAGTCGATTCTAGAAAATAAAGCATTATTTGTACCACAAACGACGACTAACCACTTCCAACCAAATAGCGGCTATACTGGTCGCCATAAGCGTCTGAGCCCTCGGCCATCACCTGGAAACGTCAGGTGATGAATAATAACGGATTGTAAAAACATAACAGATAAATATACAAATTTACAAGCAAAATCGCGTTTGGATTTCGAATTTTGGCGAGGACTTTGTGGTCTAATGAAATACACGTGACGCGGGAGACGGAAGGAAACCGTCGATAGGATTGAGGCGTTGCGGCAAAGGGGTTATGTTAGGCGGGCAAAAGGCTTATCGGGGTGGCGGATCGAAGAGATGTCTGGCGGGAGTTTGTGTTACAATGGGCAGCTGGCTAGAATAGCGACATCGATAATTTGTACGCAGGTTGTGGGGGGAATTATTTGGATGCACTTTTGGCGTAGATACCCCAAAAACCGAGTACACTCCCTCGCGTATACTTTCAAGTGAAAATTTGACTTAGGCTTACCGTTCATTAATTCCGTAAATTGGTGTGATTCGTTTTTCGAATTTTGAATGCAAATATGCCCGTTCAGGGATGACATGTTGCCATTTTCATTTGAATTTTCGATAACATTTAGACTATTTCCAAAATTTTAAATGTTTTTATCAAAAGGATATCCTGGCTGTCATTCGTATTGGTCACCAAATTGTCTGAAAATTGCACACGAGGTTTTAGGAGGCATTCCATGCCCAAATTTGATTGAAAACATAACACATTATATCGCGTATATTGCGGAAGAATATGCGAAGCTTAAACGCTAAGAAATAAATAAATTCTATGAATCGGGGTGTTACACCACTATTCCTCATATCATTTTAGGAATAATCCGGCCGCCATTTGGGACCTATCCTAGTGAGACCCAAAAGAGGCTGAACCTTGCGTGTTGACCCTGAAAAGTCCCTTGGGAACAATTGCAATTTTATTGATCAACATTCACAGGTTCTTCGTCACTTCATCGATAGTCAAACGGTTTAACTTAGCCGTGGTGCATTTATAAGCTCGGCTGACTTTCTTTTTACCATCAGTTTCCTGGAAATCACGATATTTCTTGCTTTCCGACCTACTTGCAGGGTCGTAGAGGCGCCTGGATCGAGTGGTACTTTATTGAGCCCCACTAGACATTCTAAAGAAATGGTTAGATCAATGCAATTTGCTGAAAACCTACTAACAAATTTCATCTTATAGACGCTTCCAAATTTTAGACATTGCGCCCGAAAATGGAATCGCGGGCCTTTGTCACCAAGCTGAAAATGATGTCAGATTTCAAAATTTCTCTGAATGAACCTCATCGAACGTTTCCGATTCAGCCAGACGGATATACGTTTTAGCGGCGGGGATCGGGTGCACACATCCTAAATAGTCTCATAGTTTTTTGAGGCTAAGGCTGAAAAAACCTTGGTTGACCCATGCAACTGACGTTGTACCATTTACGGTGACTTCTTTGCATTGGAGCCATTGTGATAAGGTATTCTGGATTAAGTTCCTTATGAATTGAATCGATAGGCATTTTCAAGTAATAAAGCAGCTAGCGTTTTTTGACATAACAGACTTTGTAAAATTTATTTAGATACCTTTACTTGTCCGACTGTGCAAACCGGGTCATCACCCATTCCATAGTAGAACAAGACCGTAAAGCATATAAAAGGTTTGAACCCCATTTCATGCCGTGAAATGTTCAGCAAAGTATTTATACGAACAATAAGATTTATGGGTGGGAATGGAGATGTCGGCGGCTCACAAGGTTTGAATAATCAACGAGATCGAGTCGACATTATATTTTAGGGTCTGTGATGTATACCGATAGGCGATTGCCTGAAATTCCGCAAAAGTGACTTTAATATGCGCCATTTAAAAGATTACCTGCGCATAAATGATATCACTGGTGCCATTTTGAATCAATCGAAAGTATGGCGTCTTGTGAGATCGAAGGTGGAAAGCTGAGAAACATTCAGAATGGAAATTCTATAAAAAAAGGAATATCTTACCGTCATAGTGGATTCTTTTTTATAATTTCCAGGTCGTCAGGATGTACATAGTTGTAAAGGTAGTATCTTTCACGCCGATTTCCGCAAGCATACTTGGTACGATAAGTTGTTCGAGGCTAAAGCAGAAAATTACGGCTTGTATCCACTGAAAGCGTACACCGTAGAAATGTGTAGTATCCGGAAGTCGACTTGCAAGCATAGATACATTGAATAAGACGGGAATGTGACTGTGGAGAGTACAAGTTGTGGAATAGGGAATAGGTGTACAAATACACAATTCTTGGTAGCACGCAGTTCCATTCGAACAACCTAGAATTAGAACCTTAGAAAATATCATTAATTTGTTAGTGAATGTGGGTTATACTAACCTTAAAACCCGGCGATGCTCTTGCCATTTCTCTATTCGCTCGTTTCGTTAAAGAACTTACAACTCGTAGACTCAACCCAGTCGGCTGATAATCCAATTTTGAAGCTGCCAAGGCCTTTAAACCATATTATACTGCTTCAAGCTATTTTTTACCCATTGATAAAGTGCATAATCGTCCGGATGGACATAATCTTTAAATGGCATCCCGGTTAACTCGACCTTTAAAATAAATCTCAACTCATTAATAGATGCCCACACCTGTGATAACCCCATATAAACACTGATCGTCTCGCTGACATACAATATATCTCCATCTGCCCCCCAAAACCATGATGAACCCATCCAACAGCTGCAAGATGCTGAACAATTTCCCCTTTTTATACTTACATCCAATAGGTCGATAAACTGCGGCAATAACTCTCTATTTTGCATTTGAAAAGGAACAGCGGAATGAAGTTTTATATAAGAGACAGCGAGGCGCACCATGGTAGTCTGAAATTAAAAGAACAACCCTAAATCCTTTCTTACCTTGTCGATATGTTCAGACGAAATATTTTTAGAAAGGGGCAATCCGTCAGCCAAATTTTTCAAATTCCTTATTTTCAAGGAGCCGGCGATTCTGGGCCATTTTCATGAGAGCGGAAGGGGGATTGTTAGTAGTGGCAAAAGTGGGGCTCATTCCGGTAATACTAGCTAGTTGTCTCCGTCTGGAAAATTTGAATAATTAGCTGCAGATCGTGTCTTCAAGGCACCGGCTGCGGGGATGATTTGCGATGGTAATTGGAATTTATGCTAAAACCGGAGGTCCCTTGGGTCTTTCCCGTTTAGTTAAAGGCAGTGAAGCGAACTAGAAAGGGAGGTTGATAACTTTTGAATTTTTTTGTTTTCTTTTTTGGATAAGCGTTTAATTTAGCCAACGGTTTTTATCATAACTATTTTCTTTTGTGTTGGTTTGGGCTGAAATTAAAAGCCTGAGTATATTTTTTGACATTCCATCGAATGGCTTTAAAGGATTTTTAAAATGACGAAAATAAAAGAATTAATCAAATTATAATCGAAAAAGGCAAAAGATAAGAACAATTTTCCTAATTCAATCTGCTCCATTTTTTATTTTTATGATAATAATTTTGTAATACATACCTTCGAGCTTGTAATTAAAATTTTTATATTTTTAAAGACTCAGAACATGACTTTGAAAGTATCTTGAAAAATAGCGCAAGGCTCAAATAAATTGGGAGCTTCAGGCCTGTGGTGAATTTTCCCCGTTTACAACCACAATTGTTTGATAGTATTTGAGGTTGGGATAGTTTGCGCGCAGCTGTGAATCGTCTAATTGCTCGAGGGCTTTATTTGCTGGTCCGCCCGGTGGCCCACCGGTGGCTTGGTCAACAGCCACCTGGAGGGCCCGAAGCGAGTGGGTCCACCCGCTAGGTGGGGGTGTGGGTGATGTCCAGCCCAGATTGCTGACTCCTCGCCCCACTCACCGTCACTATCAAACGATACTTGTATTGCTGTTGCTTTTTGAATTATCCTTGCTAGCATCAGCTAATGAGCCATGGACAAAGATTACGGTATGTTTTCATGCCCCCTCCCCGTCGGAGCCGTGAGGTTAGAAATCGATCTGAATTTAGAAAATCCGTTAAAATAGTGGCTATATCGAAAAAAATTAGGAACCTCCAGGCGTGGCTAAAGTTAAACTTTCCCATTCATTTGGTTCTGGACCGTTACGCGGGGGGACCCACTTTTTATTTTTCTACCTAGACCTACCTGTTCATTATATATAATGTCTTTTATGCTGTTTTTAGTAGTTTTTGATTCTTAAAAAGTTATAAAAAATTTTTGATTTGGAAAATTTGAAATGTCGACTTTTTTTTGGTCATTTTTCATACATTCAAAAATTTTCGAAGAGAATTAGAGAATTGCGGAGAGGATAGAGAAACACAGGGAAAAATTTAGTTTTTCCTCACGCTAAACCCCCCGCTAATAGTCCAGAACCTTAACTCTACATTATTTAGATAGCATCTCTTCCGATCGAACAATTAACACTCTCTCCCACTGGAGTTCGACGAATATTCTGCGGGAAATATTGACAAAAGTTTCAATGGCAGATTTCACTGGCGTTTTGATGGGAGTTCTGTATTACCACAGAACGTTTATACCAGACGGGACCATCTAGAGTGCGTATTGTTTCCTTACCGTGACCTTCTACAGTTTGGCAAACATCCCCGAAGATCAACTTTCGAAATACGCTGGCTTGTATGAATGCTGTATCCGGGAATCTCTGGGAAATGTCTGTTATGGGACACGACTCATCTATGGTATCAGTCTGGTGAGCACAAAATCCCTCCTTGTTTTAGTGATACCAGACTACCTTGGCATCCAAGTCAACAACGGAGACGTCATCGAGCTAATCAGCCATCAATCTGTGGTGCTTCGTCTGGGACTACACGACCCAAAAGATACGTTCTCATGCTCGGTCAATGGCAGCACAACCCCAGCACCCTTGAAATTCTCGGTAAGTAGCAAAAATTATCCACCCTAAAATGCTCTAGTCGACGCGCCAAAAACAGCGACAACAACTTCAAATCCTCATCGATCGCGTGGAGCCGAGTGTGTTCGGGGAATATCGGTGTTATACGCATCGTAAAAAGAAAGAAAGTTTATTCACAGAATTCAGATTGCGGGCCAAAGTCGGGGAAAGGGAACATATCTCATTGTGGTGTTATTATATGTTGTCTTGTTCAGAAATGCTGCATGAAATAAATACATATGCGGAATGGTGTTAAAGCAAAGGAAGAGGAGAAGAGGAGGAGGTGAAATTGTGGATATATTGGGGGTTTTATATAGAATTTAAGTATAAGTGAGCTGGCAAGGTGTGATATTGGGGTGGACTAGGTTACCTTTTAGGCTACAAAGCCGTTGCCTGCAGCTGGGCCATATTTGGCTGGGATGCAAATTATGAAGCTGAGATGGAGAAAGCTCATCGTGGTATCGGGCTATGTTTGTTGATGGCTTGGTGTCTAGTAGGCGAGGATGATGTAGAGGGCATGGATGATGCCGGGAATGTATCCGAGGATTGTCAACAAGATGTTGATAGCAAGATGGTAGGTGCAGCCCTTCTCGAGGAAGACACCAATCGGCTGAAAATTAATTATTAAAACTGAATTTGAAAGTTTAAAAAGTGTTTTTTTGGATGCTTTTAAACAATTCACTTACCGGCAAGAGAACGGCGCAGATAAGCTTGGGCAGATCAGAGCAGGTAACAGCCATCGTGTAGGATTTGTTTTCTGAAAATAAATTCCTTAGCTCAGACCTCCTTAGATCGACGAAACAAATGGAACTTTGACGAAAACGAAACATCCACAACAATTCAAATCGGGTAGTCAAGGTGTATAGCTAAGGAACGGAGAGCTACCGGAAAGACCCCCAGCCACCCGAATTGCCTGATTTATATGAAAATGAACGACACGCGCGCATATTGCCTGGCCAACAGTGAGCATTTATGCCCCTCTCAAATTGCCGTCCCACCCCATCCACAACCCTGTCAAAAACGGAAAATATGAGACGAGAAAAACCATTTTCATTTTATTTTTGGGGCTGCGCAGGCGGGCGGGCGGGCAGGCAGGCCCGGGCCAGATGGCCAAAGGTCTTTAGCTAAAAAACTGGCATAGCCAGGCGCAAACAAAATTCTCGTGGTTGGGTGTGGCGGTGGATCGAGTGTATGTGCAAACAGTGGCTTTTTGAATGTGGCTCAGACGAAGTGATCGCGTTGCTTGACTATAGTTTTTTTAATGAAAATGGTTGTAAGGTTACAAGCCCATTTTCAGAGATTCCTAAGAATTTGAGGCTTGTCTTTTTGAAGGCCAAAAATGAGGAGGGAGGGGTAGGACGGGAGCGAGGTGAAATAGTTGAATTGGCTTCTCCGCCGCGATCGCATGGGTTGAGGGCGGGTTGTTTGTTGAGTCGACCAACGGGGAGAGAGAAAATTCGGAATGCACACGCAAAACTGCAGTAGAGGATGGGGCGTAAACTCATGCTATTTCTACGGGAGCTTGATGGGGGTGACTCAACAAAATTGTTGTAAAACCAATATTGAGCAATGGGAAGTTAGGGAAATGTTGAAAGATAATATTAGTCAGAAGTAATCAAGATGCTATTTGGTTTCAATGGTGAAATCGGGTTTGATAGCGTCAAGAAATTTTTTAAAAGGTGTAAATTAGGAATTGAAGGTATAAACTTAGGACAAACAATAAACTTAATTAAGTATAAATATTATTAGTCTAAAACCAGCCTCATCTTTAAATATATCTACACTAAACCCAAAGTGAGCTACTTAAAATAAGAGAGCCATTGTTGTCCGGGAGACCGCCGCTGTCGACTGATATCTCCAAGGGGCAGACACGGCTTATAACCCTTTCCCCTCCCCCATGGGATGTTTGTCCGTTTGTGGGTTGTTGTTGTTTTCGCAAAAAAACTACGCCAGTGTCCGCCGCCCGTCTGGAGGCCCGACCCCCCTCACACATACCCCAAACCCTGCTTTCCGCCCCTTTTTGCCCTCATGTCGCGAGCTTGTTTGTGTGACTTATTTTGGCTGAAACGATCGCTTTTCAAAAGAGTCGGTCAGGCGAAGGGGCATAGTGAGTCAGGGTTCATTTGGGATGGATGCCAAGTTGGTGAAATTTTTGATTATTGGTGCTGACGCTATTGCGAGCAAAGTCTGCATCTGGATTTTGCACTATAAACAGGATTGGCGGAAGCTGACAAAAACTAGGGTCATTATTTTATTGGCGCAAAATCTTAAGATAAGGAATTTTTCAGGTAGATGCTCGTGCCCAAAAATATATAAAAGAGCGATACTTCAGCTATTGGTTCAAGAGAAAGGCAGGAAAACCCAAGAATATTTGTTCTCCGCGCCTCTAGGCGACTACGGATTACGTTTCTAGCTGGAATGCAATCAGAAGCGGGGTGTGGAGGGGAGAGTGGACTACCAGGGGCCCACCCGGATAATTACAAATCCATGGTGCTGCCAATATGGTGCGAACCTCGCTCGCTGGCTCGTCAAGGCCAACCCCATTTCATGTCGTAAAGCCTATTAAAAATGCATAGGTTTTGAAATACGGGCAAAGAGCGGGACTCTGTTTTGGGGCGGGTGTTTCACGCTAAATCGGGGCAATTATAACCTGGTTTGGAACAAAAAGTTGATTTTCGACGATTGCCGGGCTTTTTTGGGGATTAGTGAACCAAGTCATTGAGCTTTAAAAGCTTTAATCATTGTTACAAACTCAGTAATGTCTAATCTTAAAAAGCCAAAAAAGCTTGCTGGATTTATCTTTCCAAGAAGGATGGTTTTAGCGTTTTCGGAATGAAAATTGAATATGGTCTAAGCAGGCTAATAAGGAAACAAATTAAAAGAAACCACTTTTCTTAGAAGTCAAAAATAATTTTACGTGAGCGTGAGGTCGGTTTTTAGGATAACTTTTTAAAAGCTCCAAAATTTGAAGTTTCTCCCGAAACCACATTGAATCGATTTTAAATAGTATAGTTAGCATAATAGATTCAGAAGGATTCGCCTTCTTGAACATTAAATACCAAATAGTTTTCAATCGTAGAAAATGGTATTTTCAAAGGCTGGTGCCGCGTATCGACCAGACGCTGCTGGTGGTAAGTGGATTGAGCCTAGACGCGGGCCGGGTATTTGTGTGGTGGTGCGTTGTTTACGGGTGTCCGCCAAAGTGCATGTACTCTTGTTGACGTCCCCGGGGTGGGTGGTGTCTCCCCCTGATGCTTCTGTGTCGGCAAAAACTCACCCCGAGACCGACTCTCCAAAAAAAACGAGGCCGAAATTCTGGTGCGATTGGGCGTGCGGGCGGAAAATATTGGCTATTGGTGTTAGTTGGCTACAAGGGGGTGGTTTGAACTATGAGGTTTTAGTTCCGGTATCTACCGTGGGAAAGTAGGTTTTAAATTTTAAAGTAAGTTAGCACTAAGCCTTATTTGTGTCAAGGCTTTAGTATTAACCCTTCGACTTTGATGGGCGTCGGAACTGGGGCCTTTTAGCAGGGAAAAGCTCTTTTTTTGCCAGTTCATAATTATAAAATAACTATAGACTTATAAATAAATCTATAATTCACCTGGTGATAAGATTATTTTATAATGTTTTTAATAGTTTTTGGATAGCTAGAAAGTTTAAAAAATATTTACAATGCTTGGAAAATTCGCAATGGGCAAACTTTTTTTCGGCTGTGCAGGAGTGCTGGGAAAAATTTTATTCCTCCTGCTAACCCCCCCCCTCGCTAAAAACCCCGTACCTAATTATCTATACATAATAGTTACAATAGCACGTAAAATTCTTTAATTTCGGCGGCTCAGAACAGACACATTTTATTTTTTGTATTGAATCCATGGATTCCCACCCCCCCTCCACGTGAAGCTTGTTGACCATAAATGTCCTTAATCTATTCTTTTCCAACGATAACATGTGTATTTCCGGCGCTGAGAGTTCAGAATTCGGGCAGAATGATTCAATGAAAATACTTTCCAAGAACAATGGCTGTCTGGAATTCGATTTGAAAAATAAGATTACGTGTTTGAAACGATTGTCAGGGCAGACTCTTGGTTTCAGCACTTTATTACTTTAATCCGATATGACAAGTGGTTATTGACAAATCACACACGCAAATTGATAAATATAAGCTTCAAATAAATATCGGCACTTAATAAGCCAAAATGACGTAGAGAGCATGGATAATGCCGGGGATGTAGCCGAGAATCGTCAGCAAGATGTTGATCGCAAGATGATAGGTGCATCCCTTTTCCAGCCACACACCAATCGGCTAAATATCATGCATCGTTTTTGTATCTGTCGATTTTAGCTACAGGGCATAACAAATTCTCAGCCCACCTACCGGCAATAGTAGGGCGCAGAGGAATTTTGGAATATCACTGCAGGTAAGGGCCATCTGAAAAATTAATGAAAAACGGGATTGTTTGAGAAGAAATGTGAGGCAATGAAAGAACGGGGTTTGAAGGGCTTAGAAATTCCTCTCAAATTATTATGGCTAGAGAAAACACGGGGGTGGAGAGGGGCCCTTTAAATTGTCATGAAAAGATTTTGTCATCGCTGACGACGTCAATAGGGAATTCAGATTGATTTCTTTCGAAATCGTTTCTGTTATCACCTTTAGTTCAAAATTGACATTTAGTTAAGTGGCTTCTCGCCTGCGTCAACCCAGGGCTCCAATTTCATCAGGGCTTCATGTGTGTGTAGGTTACTATAGGAGCCGGGCACGCTACTCATGGTAATAGATGAGGGGAAAAAGAAATTGGAAAAGTCCCCCGACCCGCTAATTTGCTCACATCGAACAAGCGCCGTCCAAAAAAGCCCCGGACAACAATCCTTCTCCCCGAAAAAAACGGCGCAACCCCGCTATCCCCTCATTCCTAATTCAATATCCAGAAACGATTGCCGACTTTCTCAATGCAGCCCTAAACAGCTGAATTCTAAAACGGCCGGAATAGCACCGTACAAAAATTTCAAAGAAAATGAGGGCACTATGAAGCATTATGGGACTGGGAATCGAATCGTGTGGCTTTAAGGAGAAAGGCTTCCATGTACAAATAGGCTGAATCATCTCTGAAAATAATAACATTGAGGGCACCGGGGGTCTTCGGCATCCACTAACAAAATTCAATGCATTTTTTCGCCCCAGCGCTAGCTGCTGAATCAAATATGCGTCGGCGGTGTCGAAATGGGCACAAAATTGATTTTGCCGTGGTTGTGTTGGGGGTGATCGTGTGTTTTTTTTTGGGTGGGCGCTGCGAACAAAAACGAGCCGTCAATTCTTTATTTCCTTTAGAAGCAAGCAAAATGCGCGGAAAGAAAGAGGATAATTTTGGGGGATACAAAGAGAGACTTTTCCGGTTACCTGACAGTTTTTTGCGGCGACGCGATAGGGTCATTTCAAGGGGAAAAGGTAAGTAACGAAAAAGAAGGTTTTGAAGAAAAAGAATGTAGGAAGGTATTGGATCGATAGCCATAATTAGACGAACGGGGCCGGATTAGGGCTGGGGGTGACGGGATGACAAAAAACCGGCTTCCACACGCCGCATAACCGAGCTAGGCAATTTGGAAGATCAATTCAATCCCTTCCCAACCTCCAAATAAAGCACACATATGATAATCATAAACATAAAAATCTCCGACATTTTTTTGGGGTAACCAAGCGAAGCAAGACGAGCGATAAGAAGTTAACAGGAAACCATAATGATATTTATATGATTAGGCACTCGCTTCTTCGACCCTTGTGGCCCTCGAATGACGGCGGCATTCCATTTTTGTCGGTGAGCGCTGCTGAAATATTTGGGTGTTCTTTGGGTTGCTCTTATCCAAAAAAATTCAAAAAGTTCGGATAAGGTGAGTTATGAAGATCGCTGGAGTGCAAAATGGATGGAAAACAAGGTTCGACCTCAAAAATGGCAAGTCTTCTGCTCTGTTGTGATACATAAAAAGTTGGTTTATGCTAATTTTGATATGCAAAATGGTATTTAGATATGTCGTATCAGATTTTGGTTTTTGCCGCTGATTTCTGCCTAAATTTAAATACGACATGCAAAACACCTAAATGCATCATTTCCCTTTTTTATCGGAGTAAATAAATATCTACTGTAGCATCAAGCTGCGCCGAAAATCCATACCTGCGATGTTCCACGGGGGCTCTCTTCAACATCACCATGATCAACAGAATGGGCATGGTGAAGATGTTGGGTGGCATGATGTAGCACTGTTCCCTGCTTGTTCAGCACCCCAAGGTTGTGGTTGAAACGGGTCTCTTCGAAGCCGGCGCGCAGCTGGAAAAATAGCAGTTTGGCTCCATTATACTAATGAATACCTGATCAACAAGACAAGCTGTAAGCACGACCCATGCCTGGCCGGCCCCAGGAAGATCGCGTACAGCCTCCTGGGCGAGGACGATATCAATCATCACCTCTCCCAGCTTCTCCCAATAATTTCCGGTAAGCCCGTACGGACGTAGCGTGCCATGGAGACGACCTGATTTTTAAATAAAACAGATTTACAGTGAATCACCAATAAGACGAGGGTCCAGCTCGGAGCCGGTGTCTGTACGTTTTGCCCGCTCGGTTTCCAGGTTTTTTATTACGCTCTCAATCATCCGGACGATAGCCTAAAATATTGATATTTGATTTTTGACTGTGAACAATTTTTGATATGTATTTCTGTTGCAGCTCACCCTGGAATGATCACGTAGCGAAGCCGTTTCATGGCGATTCATGGCACAAAGAAACATTCTGGTTGTGAACATGTCACGGACTTGTGGCATTTGCCGGACAAGACGATCGAATACCTGAATATGCCTAAAGGTTAGCCATTGACACGGGGTTTACCTCTTCAAAAACTTGTTCCACTCGTTTCCCACCATTTCTGGTTTGCAAACGATGCCAAGTGAAACGCAATGCCTTCTTTTGTAGCTTGTTCAGCTTCCCATCATAATCATAATAGCGTAGTGGCGGTCCGGATGAAGTGGCGACGCCTTAAAACCCCAAATTAACTTCTAAAAGAGTTCCAACCTGGCTCACAAACACTTGGCATACTCGAAGTTCGGCGCATCTGTGTACGATCGACCGTATCCTCTCCCAAAGAACCATCCGTCTTCTGTCGCACTGTTTTTCTAAACCAAAAATCACGTAAGAATCGCTAGGTATATGATTTTACCCTGTGATTCCCTCTGAACATCTACGATACCCATCAACACTAGTGGAATTTTTGCTAGCCAATAATTTTCTAATAGCCATCGGTTTCCGGGGATCAATACAATATTCAAGGTTTGGCATGATAGGGATAGAAAATCAAACGGGGGATAGATTACTGGGTTTGAAGTTGTATGAAAGCGGAAGGGGTGGGAGGCAGTTGAAGCCACCCGATCCACTTGTCCGTTCTTCAGCCGGGATGGATTCCGATTTCAACGAGAGTTCGCCGCCATATTCATATTGCCTCTAAGGGTGCTTGACGCCTTGAAAAACAAGGGGTAGACGCTATTTGGGGCCGAGTTGAGGGCATCATCACGTGTTGGGGGTTTATGATTTTTGGCGATTTACGGGTTTCGGTCGTCAAGTGCAAACAAGTCTAGGCATCAAGAATGGTCTAGAAATCTCGATAGTCGTCTATTTAAAAATCCATAAATTTTAAAGTCTTCCAAATCAAAGCACAGCAAACTCAATTTTGGTTGAATGAAAACACACATCTTTTGCTTAAATTATAAATCATATTTAAATGGGATTTAATTTGCATCGTGCTATAAATATATACTAATTTGTACATATTAAAATCTACTAAATTTCTTAAAAGAGCATTTTTTAAGTAGCATTTTTTTACAATTCAACAAAAACCCACGACATTCCCATAGTGAAAATGTCCATGAAGGATTTGGACAGGGCAGCAGTGGCTGACAACGACATCTAGGGGGTTGGATGGTGACACATTCAGGGATGGAATGAAGCATATAGAAGGAACGTCCAACAATAAAAGGGAAAAGCAGCAAGCAACCCGAACACTGACCTCCGTTTCCATACTTTCCACATTTTTAAAAACAAAGAAAAATTCTAAAAAGAAGAGTAAAGTTTTTTTTTAGGTCGAGGAAATGACTTTTGGCACGAATTCGAATTTTTGGCTCATGAATGGAAGGTTTTTTTTTGAGGGGAAACCCTAGGCAGTTCAGGGACGGAAACGGGTTTCAAAAAATGGTAAATGACGGGCGGAATCCCTACCAAAATCGAAACTAATTGGATTTCTGCCAGCGGATTTAGACTTCACCGAATTGCTCTCGTTTTAACTTTTGTTTTTTTATGGCTAAAAATATCACAGCATTGTGGAGGTCACACAGAATTTCGAGAATTCTAAATTGGGATGAGTTCAAAAAGGGCAGGATCTACACGCTTGTGTGCTTTTTCGATTTGAGGAAAGACGACGTTCGCCCCTCATATATTGGCCAATGGCCTCAAAAAAACCCTTCAAATGCCCGAGGCACCGAAATGAGCATTTGACGCGGAAGGAATGGCCGGCATAACCTCGGAAAAGGCATAAAAAGAATTGTAAATTGCGATCCATCTCCGGAGATCCGGCTTTTACATCCAGCAATATTATTAAACAGCTGTACCAAAACCACCGAGAGACTGGACGTCATGTATCCGCTTAAGACTGTCATTTGGATTTGCGTGGTCTACATGGGGATATCCTAGCTTCCATGGTAAATTTTGGTCTAACACGCGACGCATCATCATTAGAAGAAGAGAGGAAGGAAAACGGGTTCCATAATTCGAATTCCCAAGCGTGTTTTTGGACATTGTAGCGATGTTTTGAGTAATATATTAATATACATACATATATATATATATATATTAATATATATTACATAAGAGAATTTTGGTTACAGCTTTGAAAGGATCGCTGAGAAGTTTTTCGCGATACTGCCCAGCTGTCAAAAACATGAAAGATTTGAGCAAAAATCCTTAAGAGGTAGAACCCGAACTCAGAATACACACGCCAGTGCCAGCCTTTAACAATGCTTATTGCCTATCCGCCAATAGAAATCAAATTTTTTGTTGACGCCTCCTGGAAAAAAGAGCTAGCGCAGCGCGATAAGTGCTTCTATCCCAGCCCCCCGAGCATCGATATCAAAAGGGCCCTTTCAAGGTGAGAGCTCCATCTCCCCAACAAACACCATGATACCCTTTTCAAAGCATTTCGCAAAAAAAAACAGACGCAGAAAAACAGCGCGCTCTAGCACGAGCTTTGTTCGAGGGGAAATTTAATTTTTGGCCCTCCGGTCGGCACTTAAATTTTTGGCAAAGTCCGACCGAGGCGAGGACACGCCTCGACAAAGGTTTGAAGAAAATGGAATTTGGACGTCGAGTGCGTAGGACGACATCTGTCCCGCCAAAAGGGATGGAGCGGGTGGAAAAAGCATCACGACGAGTGGTTGTTTTGCCCCACAAAGCTTTTGAGGAAATCCTGGCGCGGCTTGCATAACGAAGCCGAAAAATGGGTTAACTTTCGTAAAAAATTTGGGGGTCTGGCCTGAAAAATTATAGATTGGTAAGATTTTGGGTGATTTTTGGTTGAAATCTGCTGGGCAGTGGGTTTGCACGGCAGAGAGCTGAACATTAATGTGGTAGTTCAAAATGAGTGGAGTTTTTGTCGTTCTCGGGTGTCAAATGGTAACTGGGCTTCGTGTAATAAAGGTAATCAAAATGAACCAGCTCTTGGCAGAGCTTAGGCTTAGGCTTAGGCTTAGCTTGTTTAGTACTAAAGGAAAAGATAATTATATATACTTTATTCCCTTTGGAATAAAGGTACGGGCAAGTCGGTGTTATGGATTTTATTTTCTATGTTTTATCTACGCATTTTAACAGCATTTTACGCATTTTACACGCAGCCCGGACGCCCGTTACGACACATAATAGACTATTTTTCCTATCAAAACAATCCGCCGAATTAAATCCATAGAGAATCCATAGCCAACAAAATCAACCTTGCCCGTCCGTTCCTACGTTCGAAAATTCATCCCAATTTCATGATAATACCTTTTAGGCAATTATACAAGACACGGACATGGTAGTGCGGTGAATAAATTTCGGCCTTTACAGGTCAGCGGTAGAAGAAGCATACAATCGAGCAATTCCTATCTGGAGATTTGCATTTTGTTGCACTCACCCCTTTCCCATCATGAACAGCTCGCCGACGGCTGCAGATCCACGGCGAAGTCGGACAGTTGTCGGGCTGAGTAGACTCCTCAGAACGATGCTAGAACCGAGCCGTGCGCACAGAGTGATAGTAGGGGGGAAGAATAGCGGAAAGTTGCTGTGCTTGTAGCGTGCATGCAGATGGCGAAAATGGAATTTGCCGAAACTCACATACAAAATGATGCTAATTTAGATTAATTGCCATTGATCCATTTATCTTCTTAATCCAAAAAATATTTTCTATTTTCCCTTGCCGCCAACCTGCCTCCAGGGATCTCCACAAAGTTTTTTTTTTGATAAATGTCCACCACCCAAAAGTATTTTTTCATAGAAAGCCAATTTTCTAGCGGGCCACACGAAAATTGCTTCCGTGATGAATTGGCGGTGCATGCACATCTTAGGTAAGCCCAAAATAAGCACCGAATATGGATGCAAACACGTACACTCTGAACCATCGCAAAGGAACGCAATAAAATTAGTTATCTCCTCTAACATCACCCATTCAACCGGTATCAATTCTATACCTACAAACGTAATGACCTAGAAAAGAAGCTTGGAAGGATACAGATATTTAAGAAAATTTTTGAAGGAAACAAGCCCAAAGCATCTTTTAGAAGCTACCACTTCCAAACGCCCTTAAAGAAGGCTAATCCAAACCAAAATTTACCTCCGCCGTGAAGACTGCGGTCTCAATGCTGATGGTTCAGCTGAAGAAGCGGTTGTCTGAAGACATAAATGTTGTATGTAGAATACAAATCCGAATCGGAAAGCTTGTAGTGGCCAATGACTTCTACGAAAATACGGCACTTTTTAGGAGGCGAACGGGATAAACCTATTCCCTCGGGCTATTGTCTCAAGTTCCGTGTCCCCCGCGGGGCGCTTCTTTTGACAAAGTTGATATCTCATCTCAAATTTTTCGGATCTAACGCACCAGATGAAATAAGTCGGGCTGATTTTTTGGTTAGAGCGGACCTAGATTATCTTATACTTAAATTTATGCAGCTATTAGAAAACTTCCTTGGTTATTGAAAATAATAAGCATATGAGTAATTCAAGAGAGCTCACAATTTAACACGGTCAATTCAGAATTTAATTTTACAATTTTACTAGCGCTGTGGCAAAAATTCCTTCTACACAAACAGGGCAGAAAATCACAGAAAAATCTGCTCAGACCAAAATTTAAATCTACCGATATTCAATGCGTTAGTGGTTGAAATTTAGCTATGATGTTAAGGATCCAATTTCAAAAAGAAAATATATCAGTTTTCCTGGTGAAAATAAGTAGACTTGTTCTATAACCGTCTAAATCAATCCTAACCCCGATTCCCCAAAAACAAAATAAGCGTCCCAAAAAAAATTGAAACTCAATACCTCATCACCGGGCTCATGTCCGGATGCAGCGGAAGTGCTGTTCCGATTCCGAGCGGCGCCAGGCCCTCCTCGTCGAGCCGTCGACAGAGCCTCCTCTTCTTCTTTCTCTTCCTGACAAAGACGAGTTACACCCTTCAACAACCCCTTCAACAATTATACCTGCTCGAGCTCGTGGAGCAGACGGCGACCGCGCACGATTTTTGCGATTAGGAACATCTGAAAGGAAAGATATGGAGATTGAAATGAAGGAGAACAGTTAGAGGGCCATATTTATTGTTGTTGAAGGGATCAGAGCTTTCATAAATCTAGCAGGTGAAAAGCAACATAGCACGCAGGGGCTAGAAAAGTGCGGCTTTGGTTGCCTCGATTGCGGAATGGCGACTTTTGACCAAGACTGGCTATAAATAAGATTGACGCAAACGATGGTCGCTAGTGGAAAGGGGGGCCAGCAGCGAGGCTACCGTCTGTGGAGGCCGCTTTTTGCGTATGAAATACCCTCGCAAATTGCCATAATGGACCTACTGTACCCACCATCTTGATTTCCGGGGAACCTTGGAATAGCGAATGCGAATTGTAATGATGAAATGGAATTGTCCGGGGGCAAGGAGGCAAAGGGGGAGGAGGAGGGTTAGGGGGGAGCAACCACCATTTGCTTAATCTATTCCCAGCGCGCAAATGTATAAATCCGTCACAAAGCGGATTGTCAGCCATCCTGTGGCCGGTGGGGAGGAGATGGGTGCCGGGAAAATCAGAGTCATCGGTGGTGTGGATTTTGTCTACGGCACGTTCGATGTTGGGCAGGGGGAGGGTACTTTAGGTTTCAATCAGATGGAGATGTAGGGGTAATGGGGGAGACCATTTGTTTGTTGGGAGTGGTGGGTGCCTACGCTAAAGTTGCACCTGCACTTTTTGTAATCATGGGTCCATTTAGTTGATTTTTTCTTGTGGGGATGGTCTGGAAGAACCCAACTCTAAAGCGTAGTATACCCCTAACAGCGCTTGTGTCTCTCCCGTTGTCCTGGTCTCTAAGCGTCGCTAGGTGTATACGTAGTAAAATAGAGGTGATGCCTAAAGGTACACTTTAAAGCACGCGTTGAGGGGGTTGGACGTATACACCTATTGACGCAGAGGGACTGAGGTAAAGCGAGATAGAGAGACGCAGATGCCCATAAGTGTAGGCGTTCAACTCCCTGAACGTGCTGTTTAAGGAAAACTGCTCACTGCCTTTAAGAAAAATCGAACATTTTTCTAAAAACATTACTAATGAATTTCCAAATCCATAGAAAAAATCGCGACCTAGTCGAACCTATATCCTTGCCTACCTAAAACGTGACCATCCCAAAGCATAAAATTACAATTCGCCGCCATTCAATTTTAGCTCTTATTCAACAGAAACCTTCCTTCACCTTCCCATGGGCCAACCTACCCGCAACGCCCCCAAATATTAATCACCCCATATTGTTTTCTATATGACAATATATTCCAGACGACCTTTCAAAAATAGACCCCCCTCCGTCCCCTACCCTCCACCGCGACGCCATCGAAAAGCTTCTTTACTTGGCGGGATGAAAATCAGAAAGATTTGTTTGCTCCGGTGGACTAACAACTGCCCCCTCCACCTAAATCCCCCCACCCACCCCCACTCTCAGCCAGCCATAGCAATATGATGATATTATATATATCTGCAATCCCGGTGTATTCCATCAAAATTAAAACCACCCCCCTACTGACGTACACAAATAAATTTATGAAATTATGACAACAACATGGAGACGCATCCCCCCACCTTGTAACCAGGGACCACCGTCGAGCAGCGCGGTTTTTTTAGCGAAAAAATTGCATTCCAAGAAACAGCGTGGGAATCCGGGCGCTTGGGCAGTGGACACCACAAAAAGAGCGGATTTTTAGGTTTGATTTTATTATTTGAGGGCCAGTTGCGTGTGAAACGGCAGTTGGCTGGCTGACTTGTGACAATCAGGAAGGGCAGCGCACGACTAATTTCTGGAGGATTGTCGTTGTGGAAAATAGATAGAAGCTAGTAGTGAAAGAAATGAATAGAAAAAGCCCTGATCTGGGATGCGTGGTGGAAGCAGTGAAAAATGTATTGTTAATATTAGAGAAAAATTTCGATGTGACTATTCGTAAAATTTGGAAATCGGGGTCTCGGTTTATAAAGTTTTTGTGCAAGTTTTGATTCCAAATGATGCTTTTACCATAAATATAGATTTGTAAAGTGCTTATACGATCAAGTTTTAAGCGGTTTCAAAAGAAATGGCAATTTATATTCGTTTATGAGCTATTAACCACTTTTCAAAAGTCAGGTTAAAGCTTAACAACAGCAAATAACCAACAGCTGCACCCGGCAAACAATTCAGCTCACAGCAAATTCAACGAACAAAGCCGTGCATATCACTCTAGCAGCTGAAAAGGAACTTTTATTAGCGAATAACATTCAAAAGTCGATTCGGCCATGCGAGCCATTTCCGACCCGTTTGCAACAACCGCCTCATTTTTGGCGCTAATTAATGGATTGGGCGGGGGAGGAGGAAAAGCCGCAAAAAGCCAGGGGGGGGCACTTCTTGAAGCGAGTATCCAAATGGAAATGCTGGTAATTGTGAGGTAGCGCTGTTCCACACCGGGTTCGCCCCCAGCGTTTAGTAATGGGTGGAGTCCCCGAAGTCCCACACCCATTTCATTTCGGAAAAATTCATTATTGTTGCTACCGACAGGGATGGTGTGTTGCTTACCGGGGGAGGTGGGGGGAAGGTCGAGTAAGTGATGGTGGATAAGACCCCCGGGATATCTTCGGATTTTTGAGCGGTAAGTAAAATGGAAATCTTAGCGGGGAAATAGCTCTCAGGCTTTTACCACGTAGAGGTCGGCGGCATAAAAGCTTCAAACTTCCGATCGTGAAAAATTTCAAAGCAGCATGGCGTAAAATCCAAAGATTATCGTTAAAACCTGGGGTTTTTTTGGAAAAAGATGGCTTTTCTGGCTATCTTGATGCAATTAACATGCGATTTTCTATAATTTGCGAAACATGGGGATCCCTGGTCTCCTTCTGCTGCCGATTTTCATCTTAAAAAGCTAATCTTAAAAAAACAGCTTCGACCTAGGCGATAATTTTGCAATGTAGATAATTTGCCAGCTGGAAAAATTTCCTTTACCTATTGCCAATCATTTGAAGGCTCAAAGTCAAATCATACCGTTAACGGAACTGCCAGAATAACGTTGATTATGCCGCAACTTTTTTTATTGCAGTATATCTTGCTTCAAAAATTGGCGATTTTTATGCGCAGAAATTGAAAGGTTGAAGGACTGCAAAATATCTTTTCCGGGATCCCTGGAGATAGCAGTGGTTTTAGGGGAACGTCAAGAATTCATTCAAACGGGTTAATGATATTTCTAGAAATGTCTCCAACAAATGATGAAACCATCCATTGATTTTTCCCGAATAGCCGGTATAAAGCAAAAAGAACTGGAAGAAGAAGCAGCGAGGCCCACCAAATCGACTGCTCCCATCCGATTTCGGATGCCTAATTTTTGGAGGCGACGCGCTGCTAATAGGCCAGAGGGCATGCGAAGGAGGTCCCCGAATGGATGCAACCGTGAAATCCCCAAAAATGACATCAGCTACTTGCCCCTGCATAGTAAGACTACTCTAAGCCTCGTTGGAACGTGTTTTCAAAAATCCAAGGACCAAAAGTAGACTTTTGCTAACTCTAAAACCCAGTTATCCTAGAGCACATAATTAATAACATATTCGCGAACACCCCGGGATTTCTTAAACTTGCACGCCATCAGCAGCTATTGAAAAACAACGCATCTTATATTCTTAAGAGCAGGAAAAGCAAAACTTGTTTTCAAGGGGAACTGAATTTGAGGGCAGGCTTTTCCAAATACGAGCCGGAAATTTTTAAAAAAGTGGGCTTCGGGAAGGTTGAGAGCCCAATTTTGTGGTCGGTTTTATCGAAAACCCTGGGAGGCTACAATTTCTTGAGCTGTGAGTTGGTTGGCGGAAAAGTCGGAGGACCCATTCTAGCTAATGAAATGGGTCTCGTTCATTTACCATAACTACGGTCGGGATGGGGTAAAATGGCAACAATACGGGCGTGAGGTGTATGATTTATGATTTTAAAAATGAAGACAAGGAGAAGCTGTTTTTTAAAAGAAAGTGCTTGGCTTGGTAGTTCATAGCTAGTAGTGTGTATGTGGTGGAAAACATGGCCACCCACCGAGGCTTAACGCCTTATAAACAAACACCCGCAAAAATCATTGGATGGCTTGTTGGCCATGGTGAAGCAATGAATTTTTAGGGAAGTGCCCGGAAAAAGATCCTTCATCTAAGGCACCCAGTTTTCATGACCCCGTCTGACCCCCAAAAAGGGTTTATGTCTTGTGGATCCAATTAGAAGGTCATGTGATGGAACCTACCATTGTCCTAGAATTGAGTCTAGCGTCTAGATATCCGCCAATATACAGCCAATATCCAGTCGACGATCATTCAAAGTAGCACCAACCGAATGCCGGGAATTGTCTGCCGTTTTACCTCTAAACAAACCCATTTTCTCTGGGCACCCAACGATGAAAAGAAGTGGAAATGCCATGGCAGACAAAATTATCCCATGAGACCCCGGCAATGGCCTTATTACCGGCACGAGGATGAGAACGAGGTGGAGCAGTAGCCCATTTTAGGAGAGTTGAAGAGTGATTTCGAAGAGTGTGCCGGTCATTGTGAGCAGAATCTTTGATGGCTTTCAAGGGTGGAGGGTGGGCGTCTAGACGACTCATTTTCAAGATTACAGCTTCTTTCACTTGTATGCGTGCGATGAGTGAGGTGTTTTTGAGGCGGGAGGTTCATTTCAACATATAATCGAACCGAACTTATACACGGTTGAAGCTTACAGCCTTTAAAATTACTTATACATCTAGCTCCAAACTTCGAATTAATTCAGGCTTTTTTCAGCGTCTAGGATTTGGTTAATATTTGCATTCCTCATCAGCCTGAATGGACCCACCATCCGGAACTCCTTCATCTTTTTTTCCGTGTGGAAAATAATAAATGCGCACCACAAGAAGCCATTGAACCGTCCGTTCCTGTGATGTAAAAAAGTCGACATTAATCCGGCGGTATGAGTGTTCGGTTCGTTCGACTGGGACCAGTCATTTCAATTTTTGAAAATTTGATGCAGCGTCTCTCTCTTCTACGCGGGTTG